CACCTAAAAGGAAGGATATAAATTTGCAAATTTAAGGAACGAATAAAGGGTCAGACGGAAAAAACAACTCACACCAAAAAGTGCGTCGTCACAAAATTTCAGAATCGCAGAGAAAACCCTAAACACTTCCAGAGATAAAACAAGGCCTGGGGAAAATGTCAGGAATCAGTATGGCAATTGGACATTTGTACAGCAACAGTGGAAGACGGAAGATACCGTGGTGCCTAATCGAGGAAGGGGATTTCCTGGCTAAGATTCTGTACCCAGCCCAACTATCCCTTGAGATTTGAGAGTAGACACAAAGGCATTTTGACACATGTGCAGCCTCAAAACATTTCTACTCCACATGCTTTCTCTGAGAAAGGATGTGCTCCACCAAAACAAGGGAGTAAACTAGAGAGAGGAAGACAAAAAATATAGAGATGCAGAAAGGAAGTTCAACATAGTAGAGAGACCAAGAAGTATTCTGGGAAGGATAGAAAGGGCATGTCATAGGATAAGAGCAGAGCAGCATTCCAGGAACACAACCAGACACAAGACAAAAAGTTCTAGAAAAGTCAGTGTCTGATGTATGTGAACATATTGAAGGGAAAATTAAAATTCTTTTGGAAAACCTGGTAATATGCTAAGTGATACTATACATCCATGACATTGCGTTATCTATAAAACTAGACAAAAAAAAACCAGTCTATTAATTACCAAGAGGATGGAAAATCCAAAGTGAGGAAATGCATCAGTGCAAATATATCATTTACTTCTTTATTCTATTCTATTCGTTGCCCATTCATCTAATGCCCCAATTATGATACAGTTATTTGAGGGGATTGGAAGAGAAGAAGACATGAAAGAGGGGTCAGGGGTTAAAAAATGAAAAGGGACAGGATATTCCACAGGAGGACAACCAAAAATTTCTAATATCAAAAGAAGAAATAAGAAAAACAGCAATATGTAGGTGTAGTTAAGCACTGTGTTTGGTCTCCCCAAAAGCTTGATTCTAGGGCATGAAGGTTAAGGGTAGGCAGGGATGCAGGGGATTTCTCTTTTTTCATTGTAACCAAAACCTCAACAGCTGAGCTACATCTCTAGCCCTACATGGTATAATTTAATTTGATTATTTTTATTTTTTGGATGGTAGGGATTGAAATCATATTGAGCCATGCTCTGCCACTGAGCTACACCCCTGTAAATTTCTTAACTTGGGAAGAAAAAAAAAACATGGAACACACTCACGATGGTATGTGATAAATATATAAAATTGAATGTGTATTCTGTTTATAATCACATCAGAGATGGATCGTCAGGGGATGGAAGGAAACATGGAAAAAATAAAAATAGTTGCAGTGGTAGGATTATGGGTGAGTTTTTCCCTTGTTTTTCTAAAAATTTCTGGGTGATGTTATATTGTTTTGGCTCCGTTTCTTGGTCTAAAATTAGGGCCAACCATCCCCACCTAATTAGGGTTGCTGTGCAGGGTGGGGAAAACCGGGGACACAGCCATCTGCCCAAGCCTTGAGCCTCTACTCGGGTCTTCTTTTTGGAGGTGCAAAGCCAGCTTCTTCCACTGAGTCCCAGGGGTGCCCAGGTCCCTCACTTTTCCCCAACTTTTCACTCTGACTTGGTGACTCTCCCCTTGGGGCCACTGCTGCTCTATGGGCAGCTCCCTGCTCCTGTGGAGCCTGTAGCCTCAGGTTTCCATGTGCATGAACCAAGCTCTGGCCTCACACATCAACGGGGACACAGCAGGCTTTTAATAAATAACCATGGACTAAAGGAAACAGTCACTCCTCGAGGGCCATTTGCTCATAGTTCTGAGTCTGAGGCCCAGAAAGAGAAAACAACTTGGCCCAGAACATGGCCTTGGCTCCTTCCCCAGACCCAGGCCCACCCACCCACCGTGGTCCACCGTTTGCTGGACATATTGATCATGCTTTTTATTTTCTGTGTTTCGGGTGCTTTGACACTGGGGGCCCTGCCAACCCTGGGAAGACGGTCCCTCCCAGGGCCAGCCCGTTCCTGAAGACAGTACTTTTGTATGTGAACTAAGCAGTCCAGAGCCCACAGCCTCCAATCACTTCCTTTATGAGGCCGCCATCTCCCTGCCCTCATCTCCCCAGAGCCAGCCACTGGCCAACTCAGGACAGAAACTACATCCCAGAGTCTCCTGAAATTATGCCAGTGAACCCATCCTCCCCCGTTACTTCCTATAGAAATCCCAGTGGAGGCTCTTGACTGCACCGTCCCCTCTGCCTCCTGAGCCTTCCCCGTGTGCCCTGCATGGTGTCCCATGCCCCCTGTTTCTAGGGCAGTCACTTCTATGTCGGCGAGTCTTACCACACTCCATTAAAACAAACCCTGGTCTAGTAAAGGCCAGAACTGAAGCTCAGCTCTTCACCTCCCGTGAAGCCGTGGTGGCCGGGGGCTGGGTGCCCTGCCCATCGGGCTCTTCTCAGGGCCAAACCTACTGACCACCGGTCGGGGACAGGCAGGCAACACAGCCAGGGACGGCTCAGAACAAAGGTCCCCAGGACCCTCCTGGCTCCAGGCAGCACAGAGCTGGCCCTTCCAGAGAGCAGAGCCTTGGCCTTGGGACCTTTGGGGGGACAGCTTCATCTCAGAAGCCCTGGCTGCCTCCACTTCCAAGCAGAGGACACAGATTCCAGGGTCCCCTTGTGCTGGCCACTGACATGGTGTCCCGAATGGGGAGGATGCAGGTGGCGTTCAACCAAACAAGTATGCCCTCCCTCCACCCCTCATAGCTGCAGGGCTCTCTGAGCCTGGACTCGGAGGCCTGGCTCCTGGTCTTCCTGAGTGGCCCTCGGTCTTAATGACATTGCATTTGGCAGGGGCTTCCTCTGTCATCCTCCTCGGCTGTGGTTACGATGGTAACAAGAGCCACATATCCAGGCTGCCCCTCATGCTCCCCAGCGACACCGGGAGAGGCTGCCAAGTTGCCCAGGGCCCATAGGTGCCACGAGACGGGCACCTGGGTCAGAACCCTTCTAGAGCCCGGGGTCTTTTCTGCACAATTTCCTGCTTCTGGTTGCTTTGGCACCTGGGAAACTTGAGGAGCAAACGGGCCAGAACGGAGCCATCAAGCAGGGCTCCTGAGAGAGGCATGGGGGTGTCCGTGGCTGGTTTCCTAGGCCCAGCGGGGCTGCCATGATCCTGCTTGTGCGGCTGTGGCACCTGCCACACAGACCACTGAGGTGAGCCGGGCTCATCTCTGCACACACAAGTTATAATGGGTCAGGGCAGTCCTCCCTGGTTCCATGACTGTCCATCATCCGTGCCGTTTCCTTCAGACTGGCCACCCTGGGACCCATCCCCAAAACCAATAGCATTAGTATGCAGAGACAGGAATTCTGCAGGATAGAGCACTTTTCAGCCCTCTGCTGGGGATGGATTGGGGTCCCCATGGCTGGGGACATTTAGAGGGGCAGCTGTGTTACAGCTTGCTGAGGGTTTCGCATCTTTTATGAGTGTCCCTCAGGACTCTCATAAAAGGAGATTTCATCATAAGAGAAGCAAGAGATGGACTCTCAGTGGCCTTTTTGGGGAGGGAGGAGTTTGGGGGGGTCACCCCTGAGCATCTAGCTTTTGGGGGTCAGCGACTCCACCTCTCACGGGCAGATCTCTGAGGCTCGTGTTGTTAATCTGAAGTTATTGTTGGATGTGTTGACTCTTTTCTCCTTGTCCAGAAAGAAGTCACAAAGCATCTCCAGGGTCACCCAGGCTCCTAGATCTCTCAGGCCCGGAAAGATGACACCAAGCACCGCCCAGGGAGAGGAGCTCCGAGATTCAGGACCCTCTTGGACATGTGGCGGCAGCATGGCCATCTCTGTGTCACTGGGAAAGAATCTGTTTACAGGGCTCCAAGCCCAAGGTCAAGGTCCAGGTGCCAGGACGCAGAGCCAGCACTCGGGTGGTCCCTGGGGTGTAAAGGGGCTGCCTGCTCCTGAGCCCCCACAGCTTGCACCCAGCCAGGCCTCGTCCCCTGCAGTCCCCCACCAGCCACAGCTCAGGGAGAGACAGTGAGCTTTCGAGGGGAGCAGGTGAGGCCCCCCAAATACACAGGAAGTCCCAAGACCCTAGCCACTGGGCTTCCAGAGGGAAACGAGCAGAATTTTAGGAATGAAAGACAAAGTCACGGGTTGGGTCCCCCCAGGTGGTGGGACCGGGCAGACGAGGGAAGAGGAGGCCTGGGGTCCCACTCTCGGCCTCTTTCTGTGTCCCTCTGCTCTTGAGCAGGTCTCTTCAGTTCTTTGGGTCCCTGCTGTGCTGACCGCAAAGTGATAGGTGACAAACCAAATCCTAACAGATCCTGACAGAGATGGGACCGGGGGTACACATCCCATCACCCCCACCCCACACACCACCAGCCAACATGGGAATGACAGCCCCCACCATCTGAGCCCTGGGCTGATCCACTTCCCACTGTCCCCACTCACCACCCCTGTCCTCAGGGATCACTGTCTGGGGTCAGCTGCTCCCTGGTGGGCAGAGGGGAAGGAAGAAAATGGGGCCGATAGTGGAGACCCCAGGACTCTCAGGGTTGGCCTGGGCCACGCCTTTCCCTTGCAGGAGGAGGTTGCCATGGCAACCAAAGCAGCACTTGGTACCAGGACCAATGGGAAGACCTTGACTGGGGACGGAGTTTTTCTTCTAATCAACCCGGAAGGTCGCTCAGAAGTAATTTGCTTCTTTCTTAGAGATACTGTCTCTATACTGTCCCCAGGGGCTTGACACACATTTAAAAAACAAAGGCATTGGTGCAGGATCTTATAACAGTTGCCTGTCAGCTTAAGGCATGGTCCCGTCTGGGTCCTGCCTGGGACCAGCTGTGTGAAGTTCTGGGGAAGTCACTTAACTCTCTGTCCTCGATGCCGGTTTAGAGGAGGCAGGACTGAAGGGCAGGTCTGAGAAAGGGTTATTGTTATTCAGGCTATGATATTGAAAAGGAAATTCCCCACATAATTAGAAGGCTGGGAGGAGCTTAGCCTTAAAGCCCTTTCTTTTTACAGATCAGAACTCAGATCTGGGTGTTAAATGGCTCATGGCTGCAGTCACACATCTGAACGGGGATGACATGGGGTTAAAACCCATTCACCCTCCTGGGGTGAGGACTCCTGATCCCTCTTCAGTCATTTACACTATAGTAAGAATGAGCCCTTCCAGAACCACTGAGGCCAGCACTTCATAAAGCGCTCTCTCCTCTCTTCTCTTTCCAGAGAGTCTGAGGTGATACGGTCCCCACTCAGAGAGCAACGGCTCAGCCCAGAAAAAGGTAAGGAAGAGGATCTGGAACCCAGAAACTCCAGTCCCGCTGGGTCAGAGGCCATCTGTGCAGGCTCAAGGCAGGGGACAGAGTGCGTTCCTAGGATGTGGTTCCTGCTGGCCTGTTTTTCGGGACTTAGATGCTGGTCCTGGGCCACAGGGAAAGCTTCCACCCTGAGGACAGGGCTGGCATCCACACTGACTCTGCCCAGGCTTCTGAGTGCCCAACTGGACTTACCAAGTGGCCAGTGGGAGAAGGTTCAGGCCAGAAGCCCAGACTTCGAGGAGGGGGAGGAGGAGGCTGCCTTCAGGTCTGAGGCCTGCTCTCTGCTCACAGCTGGGCTGCAGCGTGGGTGGAGCTGGGAGGGGGCCCAGCCTTGCTGAGCTCTGAGGATGTGGTGGGGGGGGGGGCTGGGGCCTCGGCTTCTCTTGGGGAAGGGTCTGCTCAAGTGTAGATCAAGGGCGATCTGATTGGGCTACCCCCATCCCCTTCTCCCCATCCTACCCCCAGCTCTGCAGGACAGAAGCACATCCAGCTGCCTAGGAGGGGACACCAGGAGGCAGAGTGGGCCAGGGTGGGACCCAAACAAGAGTGATGTGTGGTCGCTGCTCACAAGGCCAGCAGAGCCACCCTGTCCCATCACCCCAATCCTGGAGCCCCCAGAGGGTGCCAAGCCTGCAGCCGTCCTGCGGGTCTGGTGGGTGTGACATGGTGTCTCACTGTGGCTGGAATTTGCCTTTCCCACGCTGCTAAAGCAGAACATCCCCGTAGTCTGGGGCACTATCTCTGCTTCCCACGGTGGCCCTTATGTCCTTGTCTTGTCTTTCCTTTGGATTCATCTGTCTGTTTCTCAGTATTCATAGCGGTTCTTTCTGGATTTCAGGTACCAACCCATCACCCATTATGCGCTGCCGGACAGTGGTGTCCCTGCCTCTGGTGACGCTGTCCCTCACCCTGGGGAGGTGTCCCTGCCGTTGATCTTCCATCCCTGGATCCAAGGTCCTGCCCAGGTCAGGACCTGCAGGGCAACTCTGAACACAGGAGGCCGGCTGCCTCCACACCCACTCCTGACTCTCAAAGGCAGCTTCTCATGTCCCCAGAGCAGGGGAGACGCAGCGGTGGGAGGGGCTGTGCCCGGAAATCGCTCCCTCTCCCTCGTTTGCCCATAGTCTTCGTTGTGAATAGGCGTTGGGTTTTAGCAAATGCTCTTCTCTTCTAATCTGTTAATAAACGGAATCAGCTGAATCGATTTCCTGAAGAAGCCGGCCTGCTCACCAACTATGACCTTTTTCTGCACTGCTGGACTTGAATGGCACATATTTTATTTTACTTCAAAAAAAACCCTAAATCATTACCCAACCAGCACTGCTGTGGGTCAATTTGAGTCCCACACCTGTGGGACGTGGGGCCACGACTCTGATTCCTCAGACTTATCCTTCCCCATCCAGGGTCCACAGGGCCAGGTCCCCTTTGCCGCCTCTGTGAGCCAGGAGTGGACATCTCCTGAGTCACCTCTTTCCACCTAATCTCAGCGCTCGCCTCCCTGTGACGGAGGAGCCCAGGCCTTCACCTGTTCCCAGCTCAGGGTCCAGGGCTCCTGGTCCCAGGTTCCTGAGACCCACATGCCCACTCCCTCCCCACCGGGTGGTGACCTCGGCAGCGAGACTTTCTGTCTCCTCAGGTCCTGGGACCTGGCCCTGGAGCACATTCCTGCCCGGTGAGTTCGACTGTGCTTGTCTTTTAAATGATTCTCACACTATGTGTCACTTATAGCAGGAGAAGTCCTAAGTGACCGGAGTGCGTGGTCCTGGCAGAGCCGGGCCTGGGCCGATCCGGGGCCCTCCCTCGGGTCCTCTGAAGGCCACTTCCTGTAAGGTTGTCAGTCCTATGAATGCGGTTGCTGTGGCTTGGGAGTGTCCCCCAGAATTCATGTCTGGGCAACTCCACCCCAAAGGCATGTGTTACTGGCCCTTGGAGGCGGGGCCTTCGGGAGGCGGTTAGGTCAGATGAGCTCACGTGGGTGGGACCGCATGATGGCATTAGTGGCTTCGTCAGAGCCGGTTGGCCCTTCCTCCTATGGGATGCCCTCTGCCATATTATGATGTACAGGGGAGGCCCGGCCAGCCGCTCGCACCTGGACAAGGAACCTCCAAGAGCCCCACGCTAAACCGATCTCTGCTCTCTAAGGTGACCCAATACGAGGTATTTAGTTACAGGAACAGAAAACAGAGACAGCTATCAACTGTGTTGGCCAGACCGCAGGGGACCACCGTGTGTCCAGGGTTAGGAGCGTCTTGTCCACATAGGCCCTGGGACGAGACCTGGGTCCCCACCACCTGGGCCTCTCCCGGGCTGCCTTCCGAGTGGGCTCTGCTTTCTCAAGCTGAAGCCTGTCATGGAGTTCGACGGGCCAAGGTGGCGTGGAGGGTCCCTGCCCACGTGTGAGAGCCTGACCCTGACACAGACTCAGGAACCAGCAAAATAGTGTCCTGAATCTCCCTCGGCTGCCAGCTCAGGAGAGCCCGGAGCTGAAAGAGGTCCCCTCTGCTTCTCCTCTGTGCCACTGGCCTGGCTGGAACATTCTGAACATAGGTATGGGCCCTGCTTGGGGTCAGCAGTTCCAGCCTTCATCTGGCAGCAGGAACCAGGGACTCCAGCCAGCCCCCCGCCCCCAGCCCCTGTTAGCAAGTTCAGTGGCCCCAGTGAGATGCCACCACTGTACACTCAAGGACACAGGACATCAGTGCACATTTTGGACCCCGTCAACCAGAACTGAGAAACCCGGTAGCCTGCTTGCAGGATAGTGGACAGCCTGCAGGATGGTCCATTTGACAGGACACAGACCACGGGGACTCTGTTCTGAGCATCCTTATTTCACGGTCAGGGAAACGGCAGTGTCCTGCGTGTCACTTCTCAGTTGCAGAGTTCTGTCCGCCCTAGGCCACACTCACCAGGAACAGAAGTGGCCGGAAGCCACAAGAAGGAAGATCCAGAGGCCCACGGCATGCTCTCCTCCATGTGCGTGTGTGCATGTGTGTGTGCGTGTGTGCATGTGTGTGTGTAAATGCACCACATCCCTCGCGGCCCCAGCATGTGCACACGTGTTCACATGTGCCTGTGTGAGTGTGCCCTCGTCACGGCCAAGCAATGACATCAAAGGACTGGGGACCCACATGGGGGGCGTTGGGGTCCCTGGGGGCCCTAAGGAGGCCACCTCCCCTTGACCCTGCAGGCAGAGCTGGGCTCTGGCCAGATGCAGCACTACTTATTTATAAGAAGGCTATAGCCTCACCCCCGGGACAACACGGGGGACCGTGAGCTTGATCAAGGACTGCAGATGCAAGGGGGCCCCAAAGCATCCTCCACTCTGGCTGAGAAGAAAGAGGGCAGCGTCTTACCCCGACTGCAGAACCAGAGACTCAGAGGAAATGGGAGTTGGCCAAGATGACCCCGCCTCTGCATGATACTAGCCAGGCCTTGAGCCCACCTGGCCTGAATCCCACCTAAAGACTGGGCTGGGGTGTAGCTCAGTGGATAGCATGCACGAGACCCTGGGCTCCATCCCCAGTACTGCTAAAGAAAAGGGGGCAGGAAGAACTTGAGATAAAGAGCTTCTGTCTCTGGTATCCGCCGTGGGAGGGCCGCCTCCAGCTCATTGGAGCTGGTGAGTCCGTGGGGGTCCAGCGGCCAGACGCCCAGCTGGGACTCCCAGCAGCTCCAACAGCAGCAGAAGCCAGTGGCCAGAGGCCTTGGGGGTGTGGGAAGGCAGGGGGTCAGGCTGGTCCACAAGCCTGGGTCCACCCCCAGGGGATGACGTCAGATTTGGTTGCTAGAAGGGCCCCTAGCTGAGTGCAGAGGGGTAGGCGATGTGTATGCTCATAAACAAGAGACTTTCCACGTCTCGGGACACACAGTAGGTTCCTGGCACACACTGGGAACTCTGGAACAACCTGGGGATGAGTGGGAACTCCCTTCGGGAACCCATCCCCAGCTCCGAACGCAGGGAACACCACATGCTGAAGGCATTTCCTACCGAGGAGCAGGCTCCTCTTGACTCCCTGTCACAGTGGGGTCAGAACTGGATGAGCCCCAAGCCTCCCAGGCCCACACCTGACCCTCAGGGGCCAGGCAGCTGCAGGAAGCCGGTGACAGCCGAGCTCGGGAAGACCAATGGCACCGAATATTCACCCTGACATCATCTGGCTGCAATTCCCAGAGACTAAAATTAGGCAGAGGAAATTTAGGATGTTGCTTTAGATGTCCAAAGAAAACAGGGGTGTGGGCCAGAAAATGGATCCTAAAAGAATTCTGGTGACTCAGTCCCAGCTGGGGGGGACCAGGCAGGAGCCCCACTGTGGGAAGAGGCAGAGGAGACCCAAGCTTCCCAGGCCAGCGCATCCCAACAGGGGCTTCTCAGTTCAGCCCGTTTCCCACCCGGACTGGAGGGATGCTGGGCTTCACCTGTGGTCAGCTGGAAGCCCAGCAGTACATCACCTTGAGTCCCCCTCCCCAGTTCCTTCCCTTCTTAGGAGAGGTCGAAGGTCCCCAAAGGCTTGCTGCTCCTGTCCCCTAGGTCCAGGTGAGAAAGTGCTGGGCCACCCAGGTGCACAGGCAGATACCTGGGAATTTGAAAAGTGACTCCTACCCCATGTGAAAAAAGACCCAGAAAAGAGTAGGGGACTCTCCTCATTCAACCTGCTGAGCTGAAAGACCTAATATTGAGGTTTAATGAGAGATCAGGATCCTCCAAGGGTCCTGTGAGCAAGACTCCCTGTACTTGGATATATTTGAGAAGGGAGGATCCAAAGTTTCATCTGATTCCCAGAGAGGGGAAGCCTGTGACTATTGCCCCAATTATCTGGCTCAATTCCTCCTTTTACAGATGAAGACCTGAGGCCCAGAGAGGTGAGGTTATTTCCTCAAAGTCACAGAGCAAAACCATGGCAAGACCCAAGTCAGGCTCCAGCCAAGTTCTACATTTTCCTCCTGTAGCATACCCGTGGAGCCAATGGCACTAAGGTTGACTTACCACCCACAGATTGGTTGGACATGCAGCCACGCTGGGCAGAAAGACGGAGAGGAGGAAACAGGGTAGAAAAAGTAAAATGAAGTCGGGGTGAAGTCAGGGTGCACAAACTGGAATTGGGAGAGCCTCCCTGGTTGTCAACCATCAGATGCAAATGAGGCTCCAGAAAGTGAAAGTAAAGAGAAAATGGAATTTCACTTCTGGCAAAGGTCTGAATTTCTTCAGGGGCCTCCCAAAATGGAGGCTGAAGGAGGAGGCTATGAGGACCTCAATCGCTCCCTGGCAGATTCACCTCAATGAATGTTAGCGGTCAGTTAGGGCCACTCTACCGCCCCCACATGGCTGTGGTGAGAATTACAGGGTGAACTGGCCTGAATCCCCACCTCCACGCCCACAGGGAGCCTGGCCTGGAGGGAGCAGTCACTCTGTAGATGAGAAAAGACCTGGACAGCCAAGGTCAAGAGCTGCTGGGGAGGGAGATGGGGAGTGGGCAGGGGTTACAGGGTTTTCTAGAATCTTCTGGACCACAGCACGGTCCCAGTGCAGCACCCAACATTACCATAATCCTGACAATACTGCAGAGACTCAGGCCTGACTCCGGGATTTCATTTCTAACTTACTGAGCAGATCCTTTCAGTGTTGTGGGATAAATAATCAGAGGAGTGGGTGGAGAGATGAGCACCCCTGCTCCCCTGAGAACCTCAGGTTGAAAGTCCAACTCCGACCCAAGGACTTCAGGATAATTAGCTACAGGAGGCTGCACAGTCCCTGGACTAAAGTAAAGGGGAAACTGGATGGAGCCCCAAGACTCTGCAGAGGTCAGAGGGATCAGCAGGAAGTGTGGGAAAGGCAGGGGTGACCCTCACCCCACGGAGCAAAGCCAACTCAGAGCCTACCTGACTGCGGTCATGGTAACCCAGAAAATGGAGACTTTGAGGCAGCCACAGTCACAGCACTGTGTAAACCCCAGGCTCTCATTTCCCAAACAAGGAAATGCAGACCCAGAGAAGGAAAGGCCCTGCCCACGGCACCCACGAGCAAGAGGCAGAGCCGGAGCCAGGACTCAGACTTTACAAATAAACCAGAACTCTGTATCTACGGCCAACGGCCTTTAACAAGGGTGCCAAGACCTTTCAATGGAGACAGAATAGGCCCTTCAGCAAAACGTGCTAGGAGACCTGGAAATCCACACGCAAAAGGGTCAAGTTAAGTCCCACCTCATC